ACACGGACTCTGGCGAGGGAACACGTGTGCATGCAACAAACACACATTCTGGCCCCGCCTACGAGATCCGGCGGGTGGTACCTCCGCGTTTGACAGTCAGAGACCCTCTACCACCTACGGACAATCACAATATCCATAGCGAAGAGAAAAATTTCTCCTGGGAGGGGATTCGAACCCGCACAGCGCACGGCGACTGATCAGGAGACCGAAGAGTCTACTACTGCGGCCACCGTTGCTGCCTGAAACTATAAACTTATAAACATCATACTTGATAGTGTGCAGATAAATGCAATACACTAGTGGAGATCTGTAACACTTCGGGGGGAGACACACAGAACAATTTGTTACGTACTGCGGTGTCTATCATTATTGTTTCTGAAACTGTTCATGTTTGTCGAATTCACTGAATAGAATGGAGGCCTGTTCCATGCTTCGATAGAAGCCGTTGGCTTAGAAGTTCTAAAAAGTTCTTTCAATTCTCACCATATGAGTACAAGGCGTAAGTGCCCGGCTTGATAGGGGATCCGAATGCCTAAAAACAAATCTAAAAAAAAAGGAAATCGTTTCAATAAATGTAGCATCTTGTTCTGCCCTGGAGCTTATTCAAGAGCAGGCCCCGCGATCCTATGTACATAGTCTACATAGCTCAACACGGCCCTGTGGATTTAAAGACCAAGAGTTATCAATAAACATGTGAGGTAGGTATGCTATTCCGACGGTTGATGAAAGTTTTAAAACATTCGAGATGGTGATTCACGTAAAATATATCGCTGCCTGTTTAATGTCCAGACAATATAACTTTTATTAGGTTATCAAAGGCCTCTATTCCATGTCCACGAAACTGTGGCTTTGCAGAGTGGGTGGGCCTAATTCACGTAACACTCCACACAAGAAGAAAAAGATACAAGTAGAAGTGTTGATGCTCGTTACGATATGTTGGCAGCAACATCTTCGGTGTTTATTTGCCGCTCGTTGGGACCAGCTCTATAAGTATAATGTTACATACAGTCTATACTTTTATTTTAACTCGCAAGTGTGCTTATCAGTAGAAGCGGGTTTCTCAAATTATCATATTGAAAGACTAAGTTTTAAGGATCGTGGTTGATGCTCCCTTGCCATATACGTATTCAAAAGCATGTAGTTTGATAATTAATACATTGTGCGCAGGTAGGAGGCAACATGTCCATTTCAAATTAATGTACACTTCACAGATACAGCACTCGAAAGAATATTTCCCTACATCTTTGAACAGTTCGTCAATTGTTTTACTTTTTAGCGCGCTCAACCATCTCGTTTTAATAGTTGCCGGGTTACTAATGTTTTGACATTTGCGAGTAACCCTAACCTCACTTATGTTATTGTATATATGGTCTACATTCTACATCATTGTATACGTATTGTTTACATTATATACCCTGATCTACATCGAAACGTAGACAATTAAAGTATACGCATAAATGGCCATCACTCAATATTTTCATGCATAATATCATATTTGGTACTCTAAACACGGAATTTGACATGCCAATAAATACAGCAGATAGATTTTAAATATAATGTCAATTTAATTAAAAAATGATATTATTAAAGTAACAACAATTACAAACAAGTGAAGAAATACTACGGTCTAAGTTTTACAGCGAAATATGCTAATTTTACAGTCACCAGTTAAATAACTATATTTATCTCAATATGACGGTATAATTCAAGTTATTTTGTAGTTTTGTTCTTTTCATCGTTTTCATCGAAGTTTCTCGGCGAATGATTAACAAAAATCAGCAAGCATTGCTGCTGACCATTTTCCATTGTAGCTGCTTTCAATATGCATAATATCCTGATGAAACCTTTCATCATGCTTATCTGATACGGCACCGAAATTTTCCGGAAACAAATCTACATGCGAGTCTAAGATTGGATTTTGAGTAACGATGTACTGAGACCCTTACAATGCCTCTTCACAAAACGTCATTCTTTCATAAGTGCTTCACATACAGCGCGATAACGTATATAATGAAGAGTACCTCAGGCATTAAAATCAATGAATTACAATGACTTTAAAAAACAAATAAAGCAATTCATTTTAGAGAAGTCTCACCTACATAGTTTGACCACCCACTTCGCAAATTTTTTTCCTTTTCTGTGTGCATTCTCATGTATAATTAAATTTTTATTATTTGTTATTAGTTTACTCAGGTATATTCTTTTACATATTTATAATCGTTATTGTATTTTATTGAATTTTCAAGGGTTAAGTGGCAGAATAGCTTCAAGCTAAACTTCGCCCTTTAATAAAGAGACGTTTATTATTATTATTGTTATTATTATTATTTTTCCTGTTTTCACATAGCCGTGCTATGCTGTAGTGCATTTGGTAAAAACACCGAGCGCACACCGTGCGCCTAGGGTGCTTCCACATACTAGATTACTCTTCACTATATGGGCGGTGCTCGACACAACTGTTTTCTGTAACGCGAGAAGGTTGTGTTTTCCTGCAATTTGTTCAATGACTTCACACGTTTTGTGAGATACAATACTAGTGGCTCCTATCACTACTGGTATTATGAATGTCTTCATATTCCACAAGCTTTGCGTCTCAATTTGGAGGTCTTTGTACTTTAGCCGTTTTTCAGCTTCCTTCTTTGTGATATTGTAGTCCGATGGGATAGCTACATCAATCAGTAGGCACCTTTTGAGTTTCTTGTCTTTGACTATAATATCAGGCTTGTTAGCGTTGATGGACCTATCTGTATGCACCTGCGTGTCCCATATAATTGTAACGTCGGAATTGTCTACAACTGGGCTTGGACGATGTTCATACCACCTGGGCACGACTGTTGTATTATAGTCTTTACATATATTCCAGTTTAGATGTACTGCAACTAGATTATGTCGATTTAAGTATTCTCTTTCTGCCATGATAGGACAGCCCGAGACTACGTGATGGATGGTTTCTTGATGTATCCGGCAAAGTCTACATACTGGGTCTTTGCTGGATTTTAATACCATCGCTTTCATGCAGTTTGTTGCTATCGCTTGTTCCTGACAGGCTGTTATAAGGGCATCAGTTTCCACTTTCAGACCGACATCAGTGAGCCACTTCCATATTTTATTTCCTGTTTCAGCCTTTTTTGATGTCTCTTACTTTTTTTGTTTCCGGTTCATTGTTGTTGCAGTCCTCACCATCATCATGCCGGTATTGACTTTCAGTTCTTGTTTGGTTCAGTGGTTGTCTGTACACCATAACTAGGTACTTGTCGATTTGTTTTAGACGTAAGTAGTTGCTTAAGGCTTCAATCGTGATGAAGTGGCTTGTTTCTATGCTGGTCATGCCCCTTCCTCCATCTTTTCTTGAAATATAGAGGCGGTCTACATCGGCTTCAGGATGTAGTGAGCCGTGCATGGTGAGCAATTTTCTGGTCTTGCAGTCTAGTTTTTTGACTTCAGCATTTGTCCACTTAATTATACCAAAGCTATATTGGAGCACTGGAACTGCCAAAGATGTTATAGTAGATATTTTGTATTTTGCAGTTAGCTCCGTTTTCAATATACCCCTCACTCTTCTATTGTACTCACTCTTTAGCATTGTTTTCATTTGCTTATGTTGTCTTCCATCATGTTCGTCAACACCCAAATATTTATATACATCATGTTGCCTTAATTGTTGTTAGTTTCTCTAATTCTATATTTTGATTCGATTGCAGTCTGCCTTTATAAAATGCGGCTTTGACACATTTATCCAGATTCCATCTGGATATCGTGACTCAATTGTTTGACCAGCCTGAGTTGTTTCGCTAGCTCATTGTCATTTTTCGCTATTAATTTGAGGTCATCTACATAGAGAAGGTGGTTGATTCTCTCTTTTCCGTTCTTACATCTGGTGTTGGAATTATTCAGAATAAGGCTGAGCGGAAACAAAGCCATGCAAAACATAAGTGGTGATAGCGAGTCGCCCTGGTATATTCCATTTTTTATCTGTATGTTATCTATTGTCAGTGTCTCCGATTGTGTCGTTAAATTAAGTTTGGTGTACCAGGCAGTCATTCTTCTGCTTATAAAACTGAGAAGCCTTGCTGACACTCGTTGTATGTTGAGGGTTTCCATTAACCAGCTATGCGGCACTTTATCAAATGCTTTCTTGTAGTCTATCCAGGCTATTGAAAGAGACTTCTTGGTATTTCTGCAGTCGTTATGGATCATTTGGCTCGTTAATAAGTGATCTTTGCATCCATAAGAGTTTTTGATGCATCCTTTCTGTTCATTGGGTACTACGAGCCCCTTCCCACTTCAGTTGGCCCAACTATTGAAATCTTAGTTTTTTTCTTATCAAACACAAATAATAAAAATGTAGCAGGGTATTATAGGTTTAAAATATTAACAATGAATATTTTGATAATTTATAGTAGAAAACACCAACTTAATCACTCCCTAATCAAATTTGTAGCATAAAAATAACACATGTTGCAATCACAGCATATCAACCTATTTTCATTTCAATGCAAAATAAGTCTATAACGCATAGGTGGCTGTGAAAAATAAAAGCCATGACAATTCTTTTTATTAATTACAGCTATCAGAATACGTTTAAAATAGATATGGGTAGTTAAGGTTTTCAAAATGGGTAGAAGAAAGGTTATTAGTGAGAAAATGCGGTTACTGATAATTAAATTTTTTAATTCTGGGAAATCAAACTCAGAAATTGCAACTTTGTTAGACTCATCGCGATACAGTGTGAGAAATATTGTTAGAGGATATAACGTAACTGGTTCAGTTAATAATAAGCCACGATATGTGAAAAAAAAGTAATATCACAAATGCCGACCGAAGAGCATTAAGAAGAATAGTCGTGAAAAAAGGCGTGCCAATTATTCACAATTAAGTGCTCTGTGGAGTGATGCTGTTGGAAGGAGAATTTCGAGGTCCACAACTCATAGAGAGGCCAACAAGTCGCAGTAGAGTTATTCGCAAAAAAATGAAGCATTCCACGTTGACTGTCTGAAGAGAAAAGTGAAATTTCCAGCATCCATTATGGTCTGGGGCAGTATGTCATCAAAAGGAGTAGGAAAACTTCATTTTGTTGACGAAAATATGGACACAAACAAATATCTGTCAATTTTAGAAGAATCGCTTTTACCAGTGATGGAAGAATGTTTGACATCCGGCCAAGATTTTGTGTTTCAGCAAGATGGTGCAGCGTGCCATACCTCAAAAAAGGCTATAAAATGGATGGAAGAAAATAATGTACCACTTTTGAAATGGGTTTCTAGCAGTTCAGATCTGTCACCTATTAAAACTTTGTGGCATGAGATGAAAAAGGTTCTACGACAACATCCTGCTCGTACAATCACCAAACTGAGACAAAAGCTTCAAGAAATATAGGATTGCTTTACACCAAATTTTTGCCAAAACTTGGTTAACACTATGCCCCAAAGAATGTTTCTTTCAGAAGTGAAAGGTCTTTTCTTAGCTTGCCAATGCGGGATTGTATTATCCTCTTCCATGGTGGTACTTCTGAAGCTGTGCAATTACGTTTGGGAGTAGTTGTGGGTATCAGTATATCTTGGATTACAGCGGCGGTTGCGTAGGTCAGTTTATTTATGGCAGTGATGGAATTGTATTCTTGTGGATTTCCCTTGGTAATATGTCTTATAGCATCGTTACCAAGCTTGATCATACTTTTAGCTTTTTCGTTGTAATTTATCTTTCTCAATGGAAGTCTTCGTATCTCTGTTTCGCTGCTACGATCTTCTTGAATTTTATTACCTATTTGGATTATCAGTTCTGTTACTTGCATGTGCTGGATGCCTTTTGTGTTCTGCTCGGATTTCCCTGGTGATGTTAATTTATTGCTCATGTCCATTACTGCAGTTTGCGCATAGGGATTTTGAGCTTCAGTTTCGACCAGCCTCTATGTCTTGTCTTGTTCTCCTTGGATATCCGTTTTCACTACGTTTTTTATTTCCCCTATTTCTTCTGCAGATAGTTTGTTGTTGTTAATAATGTATCTTCTTTGGTTTGCCAATTCATTTGGATTCAAGCTGCGGGTAACGCCAGGGTTCCTTCCTTCTTTTCCATAGGTCATACCTTTCTTTCAAGTTTGTCGTTCCACTTTTTTCGATTGTACAAAAATGACACAATACAATTTCCTTGTATTCGTCCTTTATCCACATTATCCTCCCTTTTCTACTTTGTTTTTTTTTGGCTACTGCTTGTACCTTGACTACATTTAAAATCTTGGGACTCGCTGATACCGACTTCTGGTTGTTTGCCAATGAGCTTTTTGTCGAGAGAAGGTCGCTCCTCCTGCTGGTCTTCCATTTCGATTCCCCGCTTTGGCTTCTATCGAGGTTTCTGTCCCTTACCGGGTGACATGTTGGTTCTAGCAATTCGAAGTGTCCTGCTTCCACATTTCCCAGCATAAGTACATATCTCGCTGGTGTAGCTCCTTTGATTATCTGGTTGGGGTGTTAACTGTTATGTAGGTGTTACGTCTGGGACTCTTATCTTCTGCATGGATGTAAAAGTTCAATTCGTATAAATCAGACGTTGCTAGGATTTCAACACTGGTTCCGTATGTTTTGTTTTGTTTCATATAGCAGCTATAGCTCCTTGCATCTTTCGTTACATTTGGGTCCGTGACGACGAGATGGTGTCCAAGGTCCTTCCAGTATCTTCTCACGTAGCTAACTGTTTCTCATCTCATCCGTGCATGCTGTTCCTGATTTCCATAAAGATACAAACTCACAGATCGGAATAGACAATTACCGTCTCCTATTATCTCTCGCAAGTTAAAAGCCTTTGCCAATGTTGGTGTGTCGAGTTGAGGACTGATTTGTGTTTTTTCATATGAAGGGTGAGGATTTCGCATGATGACGACCGAAGACAGCTCTAGAGATACCTCCTGCGATACCTCAAGTCTCCTGCCGAACGCGGAGTTATGTGCTTTAACAGTGACCCCGTTTACGTTGTTTGTTTCCGAGGCATTATCTTTTTCTCCACTCATTCACATAAGGTGCCAGATTCTGTTCCATGGCTGTTTACAGCTACCCTCTCATCAATACCACGGGTTTATTATTATATTGCATCCTAAAGCTTTACAAGCAGAAAGTAGCTCTCGAATGATTTGTCGGTAGTTGTCAGCTTTTGTAGTACCGAGAAAATTACAAAAGTCGAACACGTTTTTTTCAGCCTTGTTTAACTTCAAATTGAAAACTTCATCCGTAATAAGTTCTCGTATTTGCGGACCTACAAAAATCTCTTCTTTCAATTGCGCGTCAGTGATTCGAGGAAATTTTGTTTTGAGATATTGAAAGCTCATCCTTGTTCATAACCTTCACAAAGTTTTTATAAAGTGGTGGCAGAAAAATTTTGTCACTTGACACTAGAGGTTCTTAAGATACATTTTCAAGTCCAGGTGTCAAGCTTTTTCTTTTTGGCCTAGTTTTCACTTGGTGATGTTTGTCTTTCGCGCGACTGTCCCACTCACATAAAAAATAGCAAAACTTGGTGTATTCTTCTTGCAATCCAGTAAGTATAGCGACAACTTTTAAGCCAGCACAAAAAAATTCATTTTGAAAAATCTAGACATGATAGAAAAAATCGACCACCGGAAACAGATTCAGAGCATCAAAATCTTATGTTGCAGACCAGTGTTATGAGACGCTGTAGATAGAAAGAAAGTTCGCTTAGGAGAGATACCAAGACTCTTGAAGATCACCAACGTGAGCTTGTCCAGTTGAAGCAGGGTGCTCTTTGATTGAGGTTTTTATCTGTTGAAGAGCTTACAATCTCACTATATTCGACGCTATGGATGACGAGCTGCAGATAGACAATAGGCTCCTTGTAAAAGCTACACCTGCAAATTAGGAGCACCTCGCTATAGAAGAGGGTGGTTCCCTGATTGCGTCCCATCGCTGTACCTTCCCACTACGCCAGCGAGGCGGTACCCTTTGATTGTTATTTTTTATCCAATCGTTAGAGTCGTTAAAGTCCTTTGTTGCTTTGTCGTCGATATTTCGCCGGTCTCTCGGTTCATGAGGCGAAATTCATGAGGAGATTTAGATAAGTTACTGCCTGAGCGTACGCATATATGGCAGGCGGGCTCAGATGAAAAACTTTTGAAGGAGTTGCGGCCTGTATTGTGTGTGTACGCATGTGGTCGCCATATCTCTTTTCAGCGAAGAGAGGAAAAAAGCGCCGCTATTTTATACTCGGCTTATTTTTAATGGATGTCTGTGTGTGCTGTACCGGTGCGGGGCACACCATTCATGCGTAATGACAGCCAGCGTTGCTATATGCTGATTGGTATTTTCTTCTCAGCAGTGGCGTTCTAGGCCGGGAGTCTTTGCACATTGACTATCTGCATCACTAACTGTTATCATTTGTTAGGAGAAACTAGTTTCTTGTTTTTTCCGAAAAGGTCAAAGTACATGTCAGTGTGTAATGTCAAGGGTAAAGTGGAAGGAATCGCCATATCTTGTGATGAATTCTACAATGAGCATCCCTCTAACACAAGCCTTGTCTATATCTGTTGAAGATTCCTTCAGATCTTAGTCTTTCACATCAAGAAGATGAGATCGCTGGGCAACAACAAATTAACGAATTAAATTAGTTGCATTCCATGGGAACTTAGGAACTTCATCCACCCCTATCCACAAAGATGTGGCGTGTTATGGCCAAACAACAGTCACACCTTAGTTGTCTGTACAGAGAAATAAGCATCCTTAGCACTAGGCCTGAAATGAGCTCCTGTGCCTGAAGTACTTTAAAATTTCAGAAAGCGTTCTCTAATCCCCTATCCCTCTGTACGAAAATACTAAGAGCTGGCCCAAAACCAACAAGCCTGGTCCTGATCTCGCTCTCAAGAGTGCCTCTGCCACATTAGGAGTACTTCCACGTACCCCAGCCTGTCGTACCTACACTAACACTGGTAGTGATTAGCAGGGTCAACCCATACCAAGGCAACTATGCCTATCTTAACAAGAAAACTCACTGCTGCAGCTAAACAGGAATATCTTTAAAGATTTAGTGGGATTGTAAACTGGACATTGCAAGATGCGTCACACGAGCAGGCTGTGCAGACTGTACACGAGAAGATGGAACGGGGTTTATGCATGTTTGAGAAGCTTTACAACTGCCAGAGTCAAATGCAATACATTTGGGGAATAGTACTTCCAGTGGAAGACCTGACGGATATTTCTCCAAGTAAGCTAATCGATTTTTTCAGGAGGTTGGAGTTACTGGGAGAAATATAAATAGGCGTGAGCCACAATAGAGCAGTGAGTCACACTGGAGGATCTTGAATGACTCACTCATAAATAACTTAACCTAACCCAAGAATTCCAGACGCCTCGCTGCTAAACTATCGACAGCCTTTTCATGCACTTAGGGCCTTAATTGTGGCCTCGCTGTCCGAGCAGATTGTTATTTTTCTACTAGACCCATCCTACTCTAGAATACAGGATGGATAAGATAAAATCGCATCTAGTTTAGCCTGGAAAATTGTAATGTATTTGACGAGAGGCAGAGAGAGCCTGGTCCTGGGCCTAAATACCCCGGCACTAGAATCCTCTTTGGTGAGTCGTCCTCAGAGATCTTACGACCCCTAGAGACTTACTCTACTCTGGTCGGATACTCAACATCGAACTTTTGGTAAAAGCGACACCAACAAAGATTTTATTAAATACATGATTATAAACAGAGGAAACGGAAAATTGCCCATGTTCAGCTCGTTATAAACAAGCATCAAATACTAATTCAAGCAGCTACAAGCCTATATGATCCGCTAACTATACTTAATGAATTATAAATAGAGAAGTACTGTGTCTACAGCTGAGCTTATCTAGCTGCTTGAAAAAAGCTCACGTTATTGTTGATGACGTCATACTGGGGCTTGCGATCAACTATGGTATGTTGCTCTGTTGAGCAAACTATCGCATTCTCAGATAAACTTTGGAGATGGACAACAGACTTCCTCTATGGTATTAATAATTTCAACGTACCTGTCTATTTGATGATTTTTTGCCTTCCATTCTCATTTCTTATGAGGGTATTTTGCAGAGATCAGTTTTGATTATATATTATTCCTGTTTCAAATTAATAACCTCAATTCGTGTACGGCAGCTCCGATCTATAGCTTTAAGATTACAGTACTTTGCATCCATGTTTGTGGTGAAGTGGTGTCGGAGAATGAGTTGGGAAGATGAACTAACAGCGACTTTGTAGGTATGTGAGGTCATCATTCTGTGGAAGCTTTGAAGTATAATGTAGTTCAATATTTTGATGCTCAAAACTACCCCATCCAACAAGATACATTCAACCAAGCATTCAGTTTCCGCAATTCCAAAACATTCGACGGTGTTAATGAGTGCCACAAAGAAATGACACCGCAGATGGAATCGATTCCGATGGTCTCGATCCCTAAAACCGAACTCGATGATTTCGATACCAGACATCCGGGTTAATTTTTTAAATACTGAGAGGCTCGCTTCTGTTAGAATATGTAGTGTCTGTGGGTACATTTTGGCGTTGTACAGTCACGGGAATTTGTAGCATGGCATAATGTTGGAATAGGTGTTAATTTTCACCTCTGCAGGTTCCTGGGTGTCTCTATGCAATGTCTTATGTTATTGGACATTGTGTATGAGTTCTAGCAGAAAATTGCGACAATAGATGGGTTCAGACTTGAAATAGGAACATTTTTGTGATTTGACGTTCAGTCTTGGGGGTAACACTCAACCCCATGGTGAAGAAGTAATTTTAAGTTTGCCTCTATTTGCGTTAGAGATAACTTTGCTGCCTGAAATGTTCTGTTGCTTGCTTTCTTTCTTCTATACTACTTAACCTTTTTTCTCATATCCTTTATTTTACTTTCTGGCTTTCATCTTCTGCAATAAATTCAACTTCAAAATGTTAGCCTGACATGAGTCCAAAAACCATCCATATCCGAAACTCCACACAACAAGTATCACCTTGCAGTTGGTTACTCGTTTTACAGTAGTTGAAATTAAAGGTGCTAGTGCGAGGATCCCTAGTCGGTAACAAACATAATCGAGTCTTAGCAGCATTGTTTCTTTCAGATAGTAGGAGAACTGTCGCTCACTTCATGATCACTTGTAGCAAGCGCGGAATGAACTATTTTCACACTAATCTACTTAGTCAACAAGTTGAGATTTTATCGGTTTTGCTGCAATTATATAGGTTTTTAACGTAATAACCCTGCGGGTCTTAAGCTCGTGTGTCAAGATCAAATTTTTGATGCTATTCCTTTGACAAAAAATTGGACAAGAAAGTAGCCTCTCTTTGCAGCGATCAAATATTTTGTTACAAATATTTGCTTGCCGTCAATTCTGTTAAGAGCTTATTGTCATGCTGTCTAGAAATCATTGTTCTTTTCAGAGTTTTATCGTTATGTGTATAAATAGGGAATGCAGGGTGAGTTGGGAAGGGGTTAGGTTTGAATTAAAAATTATGTACTTTTGAACCATCCCGTTCAACTGTTACCTGTGTGTAATCTAAATATTTTTTAAAGTTTTTCAGCTGAAATGCTTAGCAAGAAAAATATCCTTGAAGATTATGTTTTGTAAACATAACCTCTTATTAATGACATAACGAATTTGGATATGCAAATATCCTTTGTACACTTTCACATCCAATTTCTTGGAAAATTTAGAGCACGTCCTGAATGCTGAGAGAAATTGGATGTTAAAGTGCGTAGTAATACTGCGCATTTATCCAACTTCTTGTGCAATAAATATGATGAAAAATTAGATCGTGACATACGGGCATTACATGTTTCGCCGGTTACCATAACCGCTGGAAATGAGCTGGATCTGCTGGGCATTCAAACCACTAACAAAGTCAGGATAAGGGTTCATGATGTCGCAACATTTTAGGTCTGCTAGACCAACTTGTCCAGTTCTTGCTTTGCATTAACCATTGATGATGTTTAATAGACTGTTCATTCGTTTTTGAAATTCGTGTCAAATGAGAATTCTCCATGGAACGCTAAATTTTACTGGAATGCACAGCGTACGAGAAAACTATAAAATACCCGAAAGTGTACAAGAAAGAAGCATATCTCGTACACCTCTTGGATTGTGGTCGGGCAACCAGTAGGTAACTTGATACATTATATTATTCTGACCTTTGTCCAAGGCGGTGGCGGCGTGGTAAGAAACGGTTGCGTACTTTACCTCACATGTCACGATTTTATCACCTATCGCTAGCTGGCGGTACGGTGAAGCGTTCACAAGAAGCCGTGCTGCAGTGGACATGCACATCGTAGATCGCATCTCACTAAATATTTATACCTTCTGAATTGAGATGTTGCGTCACACAAAGTGACCAACGTATGTACATACACTTCCAACAAGTAGACCAGCATCATTCTTGCCAGCGGTTTAGAGGAAATGGACAAAGCTTATGGGTACTGCTATACTTGTCGTATTATCTACTTCAAAACTATAAATTCTTGGAGGAGACATTATAACGTTTTCGAAGAAGGATTGCAAGACCTCTCGAAGCATCCATCTTCGATGAAGATATCCAGTGGAGCGACAATGTCAAATATCTGGGGATCGTTTTTGACAAGTCCCTCACCTGGAAAGCGCACATAGAAGCTGTCATCGCAAAAACCAGAGCAGCCATGGCTCAACTCTATCCATTACTGGGTAGACACAGCCAGATGCCGCTAGCGACCAAGCTACGGCTGATCAAGGCCATCGCCAGACCTCAGCTCGCTTACGCCTCCGCGGTCTGGGGGTACGCTGCCCCCAGCTACCGCAAGCGACTTGCTGCTCTAGAGATGAAGCTACTCCGGATCGCCACCAATGCACCTTCCTACGTAAGGAACTCAACCTTGCGTAGAGACCTGCATTGGGATACCACCCACGAGTACATGAGGAAAAAGGCGGAGAAGACCTTCGAGAAAGCTCAGGACCACCCGAACGAGCAGCTACGATTCCTCATGGACTACGATCCGGACGAGAGGCCTCGCAACCGCAGAACCAGGTACCCCAGACCAAGGTCCCAGTTGGCACCCGCTAACTGGAACCTTGACTAGGAGACTAGGAGAATTTGCGGCTGCTCCCCCCCCCCACGGCGTGGATGCAGAGGACCAGGAACCACCGGGACCAGGACCCACCGGGACCAGGACCAACCAGGACCAGGACCCGCCACGACCAGGACCCACCAGGACCAGGACCCTTCAGGACCAGGACCAGGAACAACATATTGGTAAGAGGACTTGAAACTCTTGATTTTTCGAAAACAAGAGTTTCAAGAGAAACTAGCAGACCCTCTATCGATGATCGCTTAACGACATCGATAGAATGTGCGAGGTAAAGGGAACCAACCCGGCGTTCCCAGAGACTGAAACACATGAGGAGACGTTGTAGCAGACCGCAGGTCACGCACAACACATGGCCTACCGAGACGCTGATGAGTCGGGCCACGCGGAGGTTTAGGGTTTAGTGGGTATTAGGTGATCTCTTCAAGACCCTGGAGCCCCACACACGTCGTAGCTCGTGCTATGGTATGGTGCGTAAATGCATTCCCCCCTTATAAAAAAAAAAAAATAAAAAAAAATAACGTTTTTAATGCTGAAGCACAAGCGGTTCGACAGTGATGTCATTCATCAAATTATCCTTCAAGCCTAACCTAATATGATATTGATACGAGCCCCTTCCCACTTCAGTTGGCCCAACTATTGAAATCTTAGTTTTTTCTTATCAAACACAAATAATAAAAATGTAGCGGGTTGCTATAGGTTTAAAATATTAACTGTGAATGTTTTGATAATATATAGTAGAAAACACCAACTTTATCACTTCCTAATCAAATTTGCAGCATAAGAATAACACACGTTGCAATTACAGCATATCAACCTATTTTCATTTCAATGCAAAATAAGTCTAACGCATAGGTGGCTATGAAAAATAAAAGCCATGACAATTGTTTTTATTGATTACAGCTGTCAGAATACGTTTAAAATAGTTTTGGGTAGTTAAGGTTTTCAAAATGGGTAGAGGAAAGGTTATTATAGTGAGAAAATTCGGTTACTGATAATTAAATGTTAGACTTATCGCGGTACAGTGTGAGGAAGATTGTTAGAAGATATAACGTAACTGGTTCAGTTAATATTAAGCCACGATATCTGAAAAACAGTAATATCACAAATGCCGACCGAAGAGCATTAAGAAGAATAATCGTGAAAAACAGGCGTGCCAATTATTTACAGCTAAGTGCTCTGTGGAGTGACGCTGTTGGAAGGAAAACTTCAAGGTCCAGAACTCATAGAGAGGCCCTCAAACTGGAATTTAGCACTTGCAAGGTAAGTTTTCTTATAAAAAGATGTCAAGTAAAAATACTAAAGTTGCACAACTTGTTTATAGGCAAAAAAAAGCCACTATTAACTCCACTGCAAAAGAAAAATCGGCTTAGATGGGCTAAAGAACATAGACAATGGTGTGCAATACAATCGAGTGATGAGGCCCGATTCAAAGTTTGTGTTGGTGATAGTCGCAGTAGAGTTATTCGCAAAAAAATGGAGCATTCCATGTTGACTGTCTGAATAGAAAAGTGAAATTTCCAGCATTCATTTTGGTCTGGGGCAGTATGTCATCAAAAGGAGTAGGAAAACTTCATTTTATTGATGGAAATGTGGATACAAACAAATATTTGGCAATTTTAGATGAATCGCTTTTACCAGTAATGGAAGAATGTTTGACATCCGGCCAAGATTTTGTGTTTCAGCAAGATGGTGCAGCGTGCCATACCTCAAAAAAGGCTATAAAATGGATGGAAGAAAATAATGTACCACTTTTGAAATGGGTTTCTAGCAGTCCAGATCTGTCACCTATTGAAACTTTGTGGCATGAGATGAAAAAGGTTCCACGACAACATCCTGCTCGTACAATCACCGAACTGAGACAAAAGCTTCAAGAAATATGGGATTGTTTTACACCAAATGTTTGCCAAAACTTGGTTAACACTATGCCCTAAAAAATTTCAGCCGTAATAAGATATAAAGGTGATGTTACCCAATGGTAATCTTTCAATTGTTGCTTTGTTAACTTTGCGCATTTATTCGCTCATTGTTTATTTGTTCAGATGTTCTATTAGTTATAGGTCTAAGTAATTTCAAATATGTATTTTTTACGACTAGAGTGTATCTAAAATGTTTTTGAGAAAATAAATTGTTTTATAAGAACAGCTTTGTCACATGTTTTTTTTGTAATTACTGTTTGAAGTTGTCGTTGTTCGACTCAAAAACACGAGGTTGTTTACTTCTCATTAAATTTGTAATATTTGGGAGTACCTAGATCTTCTGCCGCGTCCACCCAGACAGATTTTGCACGATATAAATAAACCTATGTAGCTCTGATGACGACATCAAGAACGACGGTGACACTTTAAATACTTGCATACATTAGTGCGGGCTATCAATAGGCTCTTGAAGACGCTCACAGTAAACATCAAACATTATTGCTATAGTGATCAGTCAATTTCAGTTTTCAAATGCGGTTTGTTTATAAACTAGGTTAACCTACACACCGTGTGGCGCTTGATTCATATACTGACGAGATTTTGCAGATCGAACCAGTCACCAAATCACAGGACTGTACTTTGTCGCGCCTTCATCGGAGGATAAGGTTGACAGCGTCTCGATTTGGTGAAGTTTGTAGAAGAAGGCAGACAACAAGCTGTAAAGTTCTAATGAACTGCATCACATACCCAACAGAGTTTTCTAGTAAGGCAATACAAAAATCATTGGACACCGCAGTCCAGTCTTGTGGTTTGTTTATTGATCGCACACATTCATTTCTGGCAGAATCGCCTCCATCTACCTGTTATAGTAGACAAGAAATGTACTTAATCCAGGTATAAGCCTACCTGTTTATTGCTTTGCAAAAATTACCTAACTGTTTCCTCTTATTTTGACGCCATAAGATATTTTTATGACCCTCATTCAATTGTTACCATGTACCACATGACCCTTGTAAACATAATTGTGTTTACCGACATGAATGAACGAATTTTAATTTGAGTTCTTGAATTTATTTTGGTAAATATACAAAATTAATTGAATACATTTTTTATTAGTCGGAACGCACCGTCGCGTCGCTTGGACTGGCAGGACGAAACAGTAGACGAATTTCGCCCAACAACCGATTTGCATTCATTTATTTTTTATTATTTCCAAATGAAACTCTTACAGCGTGCTAAAAACAACGTCCACAGGGTGCTAACGATCCACTTTTTCGATTTTATTCACTAGGATCTTCTTAAAATATCAAGAAGTTCAGCACAAATAGTAACCCACCATAATTCTTGCGCAAAGACAAAATTTTGTAAAAAGCTCTGATAGCACTTTAGGCAATTATGTCCTGCTTTTATCCAGAAAAACATCAGAAGCTGCAGAACACAAGTTGAAGGTAACGGCGAAATGGGTACATTTCACGGGTCATGAAATTCAAATGAAAATGCAGGTATAAAATATACCAAATTATCGTTCTCAAAGACATATTTCCTTGACATATCGATAATTTTAAAGTTCCACGCTAAATTCCCCTTTACTTGACTGCAGTTATATCCGAATTCATTCTTCCCTACTGTCGGCAGTTGCAGATAGATCTGTTGGCTCTTGGTGTCAAACCTATAGAGCAGGTACCGATTTTTTCAAAACATGAGCACATTACTCGTCGGATTTTCGTTACTTAAATTCCCTGTAATCATTGGGATCAGAAGCTTCTTAATAAAAGAAAGTGTTTCACAGATATCAAAGATGCAACATTTAGAATCACCTTCCCCCAACCCCCACTTTTTAAGCAGTACAATTTTTTTCTGTCAATGATAAGGAACCCATGTAACGTCAAAAACGGAGTTTCAGCAATTGTTACTTTTTAGTTTTTGCCTATAGCACCGTTGCCACTGGACTAAAACTACAAAGCTTTAGCATACTAGTAACCCCGTGTGAAAATTTTATAAAAATCCGAGCGGTTATATTTCCAAGTTGATGAGTGATACAGTTTTTCATATAACTTAAAAAACATAACATCTCATTATAGAAATTGACGTGGGAAGTAAAATGGCTTTACAATCAAGGAGCATCAGCGATCGCGATTATGAGTACCTTTTTGCAGAACGACTTATCTACGCGATATTATATGAAATAGGGCCACCAAATTATCTGAATACGTCCTTTCTTAGTCCGTACATTGCGCCGCAACGCTTGGGTTGGCAGCATGAAACAGTAGACAAAATTCGTCCAACATACGATTTGACTTTTTATTTTTTGACAGTTTTGGATGAAATTTTCACAGAGTGCTGAAAAAAAACCTCACAAGGTGCTATAGAGCCACTTTTCCATTTTTTCCACTAAGTTCTTTTTAAAAAAATCGCGAATATGAACAGAAAAAGTGCGCACTTCAACCCATCATAAAACTTGTACAAAAACAAAATTTCAAAAAGTGCTCCTATAGCACCCTGGGCAATTATCTTCTCAACATACTTTATGAATTTCATTCAGACATATTGAAAAATGGAGTGTCAGTTTGGAAGCAGCTGAACCCTTGTAAATGGCTTGAAACTCACTGCGTCGGAGCCGCCGTAATGCGTGTCCTGATGACGTTTGTTCAATACCTCCTTTCTTTTAGTCAATAGAAACAGAAGAGGATCACCATCCTTTCTCCTCCAGTTGGTTGCATCTTGTTGCAGTTTTGCAAATTGGTCGAAGCCATCCCCTTGAAAAAAAAACCTGATGTGAACAGGTAAAATATCATTCTAATTAACAATTTCATAGATCGTTATACATTTATTATTGCTTATTGAAATTCTTAGAGAGTTCTTGATTTGATTGGACATTCTACGTATTCAAATATAGGGGCAGTGCCTACATGGCACCTTCTATTACATTGATCATGATTTTGATTTGTGAGCTGCCATAACTTTTTAGAACAAGGCTATATTAGTTTAGTACATTTTTATCTTTTATTTTGCCTTTGCTTTACCTTTCTTGTACAAAAAAATGTACATGGTTTTGCTTCAAGTGCGATTGTTTTCAATGACTAGTTTTATCTTAGACCGAGAGTAGAGTAAATTTTTAAACAGTCTTTCTGTCTCTAAGGTTTTTTTTCTTCCTACCAAAATTTTGGGCAACGAGGCAAGCAGCCCCTGCCCAGTGACGTGCCCACTACTAGCCACTTTTTGACCAGAGTTGAGGACATCTCGGCCACGCCTGACAAAGAAGACCTACAGATAAGTTTAATATTTAGCCGCAAAATACGGGCGTATACTATGGTAGACGTTTCGCGGGGTTATCTCGAAAAATAATTTTGTCAGGTTGTATTTAAGATTTATAACATACTTTCTTTTTTTTATTACTCACACTCCAGTAGTGGAGCACATGTGCGTTTTTTTTTATTAACCAATATATTGTGATTCATTTAATACCTTGTTTTATTTGGCTCTCTCTGTGTGTGCTGTTACTTAAATTTCGTCATTTCTGTTAGATCCTCCTTTTGTGTGGTGGTCAAGCAAAACATGTTCCGACTAATATCTCGGGGAGTTGTGGCTTAATCCGTCCTAAGTCACTGGCGCTCTTAACCCCCCCTACTCTCCGCTTTATTGAGCTAGGGTCTAAATTTGCACGCCACTAGGCAACTGTTTTGCTTGGACCAACCGTTAGGTAGTATCATTGTGTTTTATTAATTAACGAAAAAAAGGCGTAGCACACGTTCATGTTCTCCAATGAATTCCCGCTACTTCGAATGATTTTAACAAAAATCTGTTTCAATTCGGAAAACTTCCACACCAAACCGTAATCCGTTTGGCGTAATGAAGCTCCTCGACATTACAACGTGTGCACTACCACAATGATATACTGCATGCTCACAACTCTGTATCCTCGGAAACTTCCAAAGTTATTATGATGTCTTTATTTATATTGGCGCTGCCGCTTCGTCGTCTTAGAAGGTTATAAACTGAAAATCATTAGTAGCTCACGCCGGGGACTCCGAACGGTTGTGAGTGGTGATAAGTCGTAAACCATTTAAAATTTCAATTTTACAACTGGAGTATAAATTTTGGGCACAAAAGACCTGCTGGTCACTTTATCGCCGCCAGAATTTGAAACAATTCGGCAATAATTGGTACCGGTGCTATCGTAAAGAATTGGGAGCTTGTAAAACGTTGATGACAGGCGTCCGGCAGAATACGACGAGGTCATAAATGGTGAAAATTTCCACTTTTATTGATGTGCGAGGTAGTTAGTGAGTTGATGGAATTTGTAAGCAAATTAGCGTCACCTTGTTATAGATGAAGGAGAAGCATAATTATTACGATCACTTTTACGATATGCCTGTTGAGTTTCTTTTATATGGTAAGAAATGGCAAGATGATTAATTTTGACTACCAATTCCATAATGAAGGTGTCAGTTACTAGCATGTTATTGTGGGAAAGAGCCTGCATTCAAACGTATACTGTGTTTTCACTTATTCTACCCACTCCACTGGCGAGGAAGTATTGTAATCGCGAAAGTTTTGAAAATGAGATATTATAATTTTTACATGACATGTACATTTCGTTAGTCTGTTTGTCTATCGCTCTATCTGTCCGCTAATTCTTGGTACCTCCATAACTTCCCAACTAGCAAAGTAGTGTTATAAGCTTTTGCTAAAAGAGCCGTTCAGTCATAAAAGCTCTCTATTGTTGTTGCCTGGACACCAAAATGCTGGCTTAACGTTGTGTGGAACTTCAACCATAACCTAACTTTCTACTGTCATATTTTTGTTAGAATGCGATATCCAATATTTTAAGACAAACAACGCACGCATATTGGTTCAAAAGGTTTTATCAACTGTTCAAACAGAAGATATAGATCTGGTACAAATTCTGGGTAAATCATTCGTCTCTGCAGGTATTTCATTTCAAACATTTGTCAAATTGTTGTATAACACCCGCAGGCAACACTAAAATATTCTAGTAAACTAAAGACAACATGGACGATGCCATG